AGACACATTCAAAGTCAGAGATATTGATCACAAAGGCATCAGGTAATTAGCTGGTGCCATCACCAAATTATAGATCAGGCATTCTTCTCCTGGGAATTACAGAAAGAGGCTTTCAGGTCCACATTTATGCTGGTGTTTCATTTACAAAGTGGATCTCTTCTCAACAGATGCACTGAAGTGGAATTACTAAAGAAAAAAATGTGTTGATTCAAGAGAAAGGAAAGAAAAATAAAGGCAGAATCTGAAAATAATTTTTAATTTCTACCACTGAGACATTTGATTATTACTAGGAAGGGATGATGGAAATTTACAAGGGGTTTTGATAGATAATATACTCCTCAGTATCAACCTTCTGTTTTTACAATTGCATAGAACTCTTTCTATGTCAAGGGCAATTATGGATAGATGAGAGCAGCTACTTTCACAGAGAGGTGCTGCTTGGTCAAAGTTTGTCCTTTTCCTTTTTTGACTGCATCTTTCTAAGATACACTAATAAGGGCAGAGTAGGTGTTCTCCCAGTGTTCCTTACAATATTGATGGCTGTTTTTGTGTAGACTAGACACAGGAGTGTCTTCATTCTTGGCTTTATCTAATTGCTTAATCTCAAAAGCTATTAATGTGGTCTGATTTTTTTTTTCTTTTTTCTGAGTCAAAGAATCTTCTAAGTGCCTAGCAAGCTCATGTAATTTAGAGAGAGGGGACAATCTATTGCCTTATCTTCTGTTTTCTGGGAAGTCGTGATATCTTCTTCATCCTTCTTGAGACTAGAGAATTCTGGAAGGTGGTAGTTAAGTGGTCTCTGAAACCAGGCATGCTTTTATTTTTTCCTTGTTTATAGTACTTTTTATGGTAAAATATACGTAACATAAAATTTATCATTTTAACCATTTCCTAGGCACATAATTCAGTGGCATTGAATATATTCACATTGTTGTACAATCATTACCACCATCTATCTCCAGAACTCATCTTCTCAAGCTGAAACTGTTTCCATTGGGCACTAACTTTTCACTCTCCCTTATCTTCAACCCTTGGAAACTACCATTCTGTTTTGGTCTCTATGAATTTGACTAACATGGGTACCTAGTATAATTGGAATTACACAATATTTGTCTTTTTGTGTCTGGTTTATTTCACTTAGCACATTTTCAAGGATCATTCATGTTGTAGTATGTGTCAGGATTTTATTCCTTTTTAAGGCTGAATGATGTCTCATTGTATGTATATAACACTTGTGTATTCATTTATTCATCAGTGGATATTTGAGTTATTTCTGTCTAGTGACTATTATGGTTAAAGCTGCTATGAACATTGGTGTACAAATGCACAAATTTCTGTTCAATTTCCTGTTTTCTATTATTTTGGACTTATACCCAGAAGTGGAATTCCTGGATCATATGTTAATTCTATGTTTAATTTTCTTTTTAAGAAGTGTCATACTATTTTGTGGAACATTTTAAGATTTTATGTTCCCAACAACAGTGCACAAGTGTGCCAATTTCTCCATATTCTTGCTGATATTTGTTATTTTATGTTTTTTATAACTATCCTAATGAGTATGAAGTGGTATCTCATTGTGGTTTTGATTTGCATTTCCCTAGTTATTACTAATATTGAGCATATTTTCACGTGTTTATTGGCTATTTGTATATCTTCTTTAAAAAATGCCTATTAAAGTTATTTGCTCATTTTTAAAATAAGGTCATTGTTTTATGCTGTTGAGTTATAGAAGTTCTTTATACATTTTGGATGATACTTCCATATCAGATACATAATTTTAATGTATTTCCTCATGAGTTGGCTTTTCACTTTGTTGATAATCTTTGATGTTAAAAAGTTATTAATATTAATTATGATTAATCTAATTCATCTTTTTCCTTTATTGCTTGTGCTTTCAGTGTCATAGCCAAGAAATCATTGACAGAGCCAATGTCATACAATTTCCCCTTTGCTTTTTTCTAACAATTTTAAGTTTTAGCTTTTATGTCTAGATCTTTGATCCATTTTGAGTTAGTTTTGGTATATGATATTAAACAAAGGTTCAATATCATTCTTTGGCATGCGGATATTCAACTTTTCCAACATTAGTTTTTTCTTAAAAAAAAAAAAAAAAGGTCCTTTCCCCATTGAATGGTCTTGGTACCCTTGTTGAAAATCATTTGCCCGTATATGCAAGGGTTCATTTTTAGGATCTCTGTTCTATCCCATTGATCTATATGTCTGTCTTTGTACCAGTAATACACTTTTGATTACTGCAACTCTCTAGTAAATTTTGAAATCAGGAAGTGTGAGATCTCCAACTTTGTTCTTTTTCAATGTTGCTTTGACTATTTGGAGTTTCTTGAGATTCCATATGAATTTTTTAATGGCTTCTATTTCTGCAAAAAGCATTGGCGTTTTAATAGGGATTGCATTGAATCTGTAGATCACTTGAGTAGCATTGGCACCTTAACGATATTAAGGCTTTGATCCATAAACTTGGGATGTTCTTTCTTTTGGTCATCGTCTTTAATTTCTTTCAACAACATTTTGTAGTTTTTCAGTCTTTCACTTTCTTGGTAAGCTCATTCTTAAGTATTTTATTTTGTTGATGTTATTGTAAATGAAATTATCTTATTAATTTTACTTTCAGATTTTCATTCTTAGTGTATAGAAATATACGTGATTTTTCTGTGCTGATTTTGTATCCTGCTATTGTGCTGAATTTGTTTATTAGTTGTAACAGGTTTTGTTTTTTTTTTTTTAAGAATCTTTAGAGTTTTCTCTATATGACAACATGCTGTCTGAGAACAGAGATAGTTTTACTTCTTCCCTTTTAATTTAGATCCCTTTTATTTCTTTCTCTTGCCTAATTGATCTAGCTATAATATCCAATATTATGTTGAATACTAGTGGTGAAGGGTAGCATCCTTGTCTTATTCCAGATTTTAGAGGAAAAGTTTTTAGACTTTCACTGTTGGGTATGACATTAGGTGTAGTTTTTTCTCATATACCCTTGATTATGTTGAGGTAGTTTTCATCTCTTCTTATTTTACTGAATGGATTTATAATGAATACAAGAGGTTGAATTTTGTCAAATATTTTTTCTACATCAACTGAAATAATCATGTTTCTTTTTTTTTCTTTATTCTATTGATATAATGTGTTACATTTATTAATTTTCATATATTGACCCATCCTGGTATTCCAGGAATAAATCCATTTGGAATGTTGCACAATCATTTTAATGTGCTTTTGAATTCAATTTGTTACTTTTTTGTTGAAGATTTTTGCACCAGTCCAATAGGAGCTACTGATTTTAACTTTTTTCTTGTATTCTCTGTCTGGTAAATTGTGTGTTTCTAGTAATTTGTTCATTTTATCTAGTGAGATGGATTTTTGACCAATAAATTTGGACAGAAAAGATCTCAAGGATAGCTGCTAGGAGTTATTGTTCTATTTTTTATACTCCTTATATATCTAAGTATAGTTAAATATTGTCCCGTATTTTTATATCATTTTGGTAAACAATTCATCTTACTTTTACTAAACAAATTTTAGGATATCCAGGGCTCAGAAAAAGGTGAACTAATTGAAAACAAGAAGTCCAGGACTGCAAATCCCTAAGTCAGTCCTAAATTCTTCAGTGGATTTGTGCCATTTCTTAAGAAAGCTTGACAAGTCATTAATTGGATTATAGAAATCTTACCTGGACCATGGTTGAAGGCCGTAAGACCCACGAGATTGGTGATCATACTTACCTACCTTGTAAGATATAATGAAGAGATACTGTCTGGGGGAAATGATATGTTCAAGAAGGAGTGGTAGAGAAAAGGGAAGACAGTCTGTGGAAAGTGTGGAAAGAAGAGGAGGAGCAGGGCAGGAGAGAGAAGGAAGTCAGGGTTTAGAGGGCCATGAGGGAAGCCAACCACAGTTGGGTCATGAGACAGAGAAGACAAATGAAGCTTGGATTTCAGATCCACCAAATTTTTTTTAGTTCTTTCAAAGGTATAAAGCCATTTACAAAATGTTCTCTCTTTTACAGTTGTCTTCCTACCAAACAAACAAACAAGCTAACTATTGGTATTTAGAATATTTGAGTCCTTTAATCTTAAGGTATCAGGCAAAAGATTATCTAATTCTGTTTTTTGTTTGTTTGCTTGTTTTGTTGTTTAGATATGCTCAGGCTGGAGGTCAGTGAAGCAATCTCAGCTTACTACAACCTCTGCCTCCTGCCTCCCAGGTTCAAGCAACTCTCATGCCTCATCTTCCCAAGTAGCTAGGACCACAGGCATGAATCACCAAGCCTGGCTAATTTTTTTTATTTTTAGTAGAGACAGGGTTTCACCATGTTTGCCAGGTTGGTCTCGAACTCCTGGCCTCAAGTTATCCACCCACCTCAGCCTCCCAAAGTGCTGGATTGCAGGCGTAAGCCACCATGCCCAGTTGATTGTCTTATTCTTACCCCAGGTTTCCAAGACTATCATGTGAAGAGAAATGTAGTAAAATTCAGTGTCTGGCATAGCCCAGAAGAGTACTAGTACACTGATTTAAATATAGTATTTTTACCTCCTCTCATGTAATTAACCTTCCCAATGGGAGTATTATCTTTGGTTGCACAAATATAGTTTAGTTAAGGAAATTATAATCATAGGCAATAACAATTTATCAATAGTTGGTTTTTGAATCTACTTTCCAAAAGAAAATTATACAAAACAAAAAAGTATTCTTAGATGTTTTTCTATAATGCCACATAATCCACGTCACCAGACCTGATAATGAGGAAATAGGCAACATAGACTTACCTGTAAGTTACCATGTGTGTATCTGAGCTGACACTCATGTTTATACACAAAAATTTTGGAGTCATTTGGAAATTTTGCAACTCCAATATGATATTATTCTCTCTAATAATTCTGTCAATCAGTTGGAATCTGCAAGATGATTGTGATAAAAGTTGATTGTCAGTCATAGCATATTTTTTAACTGATGTAATGATTATTATTGTCCTAAATTGACAGGTGAAGTATGCTGTCCAGATGAACAGCACAATCGGGTTTCTGTTGGCATTGGTGACTCCTGCTGTGGCAGAATGCCGTACTCCACCTCAGGAAAGCAGATTTGCTGTGCTGGGAGGCTTCACGATGGCCATGGCCAGCAGTGCTGTGGCGGACAGATTGTGAGCAAAGATTTAGAGTGTTGTGGTGGAGAAGAAGGAGTGGTGTACAATCGCCTTCCAGGTAAGGGGCCCAAGTCTACTTTCAGTAGATAGAGGATGTGAGAAGCAGGGAGAGTGAGAAATTTGCCCTAGAAATAAAACAGATAAGTAATTAAAGCTCACATTGGTTATATCTAATATAATAATTAGGAACATATTGTTTAATACAAAAAAAATGTAATCTCCCAGTTTTTATGTGTATCTCATGTATTTCAGAAAAGCACATCAATTTTTTTTCCTCTTGAAAAGGTCATGTCCACCAAAAGAAATCCCACACATGAATACATTGGTTCTGAATGAAAAGAATATTTCCTAGTAAATAGTATACAAAATTATTGCAAAGATATTGTGTTATAATTCTTTCACTCTCTTATTCTACTGTATTAAATAAGCTACCACTAATATTAATAACAATGAGTATCATTGAATGAATACTAACAGACAGTGTACCAATATTTTATACATTGTTACCTCAAATAATCTTCACAATAATCTTACGTGATAGGTACTATTAATTATCTGCATTTTAAAAATAAACAAACTGAAGTTCAGTCATTAGACAGTAGACATTAGTCTCTGCTTGCTAAATATCACACAGTCAGATCCAGATTTTGGGAGACCTAGATGGGGTTTTTAAAGACAAGAAAGTTAAAATATGAAGACAATGTTCACAGTGTCTTCACCAGGTGTAGATTCCATCTCAAGAAGCCACTTTCTTTTCTCCTCCCTAAGAAGCAACTCATCTGTTAGTTTTATGATGATATTGCAGCAGTTCAATTACCTCTTCAGGCTCCTCTTCTAATTCAAGTTCTCTTAGCGTTTGCGCCACATCTACAGTTATTTCTTTCCATTTTGAGTCTTGAGCCCCTCAGTCATCCATGAGGGTTGAAATCACCGTCTTCTAAACTACTATTAATGTTGATATTTTCACTTCCTCCCATGAATGGTGAATATTCTTAATAGCATCTAGAATGGTGAATCCTTTCCAGGTTTTCAATTTACTTTGCCCTTATCCATCAGAGGAATTACTTTCTATGGCAGCTAGCCTTATAAAATGTATTTTTTAAATAATAAAACTGGAAAGTCAAAATGACTGTTTGACCCATAGGCTGCCAAATAGATTTTGTGTTAATGGGCATGTAAACATGACTCTTCTTGTCTGTTTCCATCAGAGCTCTTGAGTGACCAGATGCATTGTCAGTATTAATATTTTTTAAATCATTTTTCTTCTGAGCAGTAGGTCTCAATAATGAACTTAAAATACATAGTAAACCATATTGTAAACAGGTATGGGATCATACAGCCTTTTTTGTTCCATTTACAAGCACAGGCAGAATAGAGTTAACATAACTATTTTAAGGGCCCTAGAATTTGTGAAGTGGTCAATAAGCATGGGCTTCCACTTAAAGTCACCAGCTGCTTTAATTCCCCAACAAAAGAGTCAGACTGTCCTTTGAAACTTTGAAACCAGGCGTTGACTTTTTCTCTCTACCTATGAACATTCTAGTTGGCATCTTCTTCTAGTATTAGGCTATTTCATCCATATTGAAGATCTGTTGTTTAGTGTAGCCACCTGCATCAGTGATCTTACCTAGGTCTTCTGGGTAACTTGATGCAGCAGTTTCTACATCAGCGCCTGCTGCTTCACCTTGCACTTTTATGTTACGGAGATGGCTTTTTTTCCTTAAACCTCATGAACCAACTTCTGCTAGCTTCCAACTTTTCTTCTGAAGCTTCCTCACCTCCCTCAGCCTTCATAGAATTGAAGAGAGTAAGAGCCTTGCCTGGACTAGGCTTTGGCATAAGAGAATGTCGTGGCTGGTTTGATCTTCTATCCAGACCACTCAAAGTTTCTTCATATCAGCAGTAAGGCTGTTTCACTTATCATTCGTGTGTTGACTGGAATAGCACTTCTCATTTTCTTCAAGAACTGTGCCTTTGCATTTATAACTTGACTAACTAACTGTTGGGCTTAAGAGGTCTAGATTTTGGCTTATCTCAGTTTTCAACATGCCTTCCTCAATAAAGTTTAATTTTATTCCTAGCTTTTGATCTAAAGTGAGAGTCGGGAGACTCTTCCTTTTGCGTGAACACTTAGAGGCCATTGTAAGGGTATTAATTGGCCTCATTTCAATATTGCTATGTCTCAGAGAATAGGAAGGCCGGAGGAGAGGGAGAAAGATAAGGGAACAGCTGATCTGTAAAGCAGTCAGAACACACAGGACACTCATCAACTAAGCTTTCCATCTTACATGGGCAACGTTCATGACTTGCTAAAACAAATTATAATAAAGACATCAAAGGTCATTGAGCACAGATCACCATAACAAATATAATAATAATAAAGTTTAAATACTGTAAGAATCAAAATGTGACACAGGGACACAAAGTGAGCACATGCTATTGGAGAATTGGCACCAGTAGACTTGCTTGATGCAGTGTGGCCACAAAACTTCAATTTGTTAAAAATGCAGTATCTGCAAAATGCAGTAAATCAAAGTACAATAACATGAGGTATGCCTGTGATGCTAAACTACTATATGCCTTATAAATTCTCATTTTCTCATATGTGCACGGTAGAGTTTCTCAGAGGATACATGATGTGATTTGCAGCAGATCGAATGCAGAATCAGAAAGAAAATTAAATTGCCTTCTCTTACACTGAACAATTAAAAAGCTTGCAAGAATGTAACAATGTCATTCTTCTCACTATTTTTAATTTGAAAAATATATTTTTCATAAATATGTTATGGATTTATTATTTTTATATTTAAATGCATAAATAAATATTTCAAAAATTTCTGCCAAAAGTTTTAACACAGCGTATATCAACAGATAAAACCCATATAAACAAAAGATATTTGGGGTCCTCAATAATTTGTAAGAGTATAAAAGGATCCTGAGACCATAATTTGAGAACCACTGCTTAAAAGCATAGTAATGTCTACTAGAAGATTATAGCAGTTAGTTATCCTGTGCTATGACTAACCAGTTGAATACCTCCTCCTTTAGATGAAGTAGCTAATAACAGATCTTGTAAAGGTAGAACCAAGGCAGCAGGGAGGATACAAAAGTGTTACCCCCTGTATATCCTAATACATTAGAGTTTTAAAATGACAGAAAAATATTTTATTTTAGTGTGTTTGTTCGTCTGTAGTTTTTGTTTTTTTTTTTTTTTGAGACGGAGTTTCGCTTTTATTACCCAGGCTGGAGTGCAATGGCGCAGTCTTGGCTCACTGCAACCTCTGCCTCCTGGGTTCAGGCAATTCTCCTGCCTCAGCCTCCTGAGTAACTGGGACTACAGGCACGCAGCACCATGCCCTGCTAATTTTTTGTATTTTTAGTAGAGACGGGGTTTCACCATGTTGACCAGGATGGTCTCGATCTCTTGACCTTGTGATCCACCCGCCTTGGCCTCCCAAAGTGCTGGGATTACAGGCATGAGCCACCATGCCCAGCCCATCTGTAGCTTTTTAAAAGAATTAGTCAATTGCCATACTTCCTCCTTTGTTAAATATGTATTATGTAGTGACCATATTCAAGATATCACTCCTGGTGCTTTGTGAGTATAAAAGTGGCTAAGATTCCACTTTTATTCTCAAGAACTTATAATCTAATGAAGGAGAAAAGTATCTATAAGGTTACACACAGGCCATGAGAGAGGGATGAATGCATGCATATTTTTAAGACTGAGATCACTCCAGTCAAGGTAATGAAGGGGGTTGTTGCATTGGATTGGAATCTCAAACAGTGAGTATGATTTTGGCAGGCGTGGCTTGAGCTAAACTGTGAAATTAGCACTCTGCGAAACACAAATAGTAGTGAGCACTTTGGTTTACAGGAGGTATACACCCTGTGTAAGGAAGAAAGGAGATAAATCTCAGTAGGCAAAAGGATTTGAATATTAGCACTCAGGGAAGAGTCAATATGATTATAAGAACTATAGTTTAAGATTAAATTTAGGTGGCAGAACAAATGTGAAAGAGAAGGAAAGAGAAGTCAGAACACCATTGCCGTAAAGTAAAATGCATCTGTTCTAAGAAGTGGAATGGAGGTTACTGTCCACTAGGACAATCGTTCTTGTTTTCCTTTAGAATCTTGGAAGTCACAAACCCTCACTCTGAATAATAGTGCATAGAATACACACAAAAAATTTGCCTGTAATTTTATCCACCCTTGAACTCCATCCATGAACTCAAATTTCAGAATCACTTCTTTATTGACTTCAAGATGATGTCACATGGCAGTCAAACGTTCCTTATAAAAATAGTGACAACCCTTAACTCCTGCGAATCAAGATAAGCTCTAGAGTTTCTCACGGCATTCTACAGCTCTGCCAATTCTGATAATCACAATGGACTGAAGGAATGATAGTTTTACAAAGGAAAAAAAAAATCTCTTTTTATTCTCTTGACCTTCCTTCCTGCAGGTTGCAGTGAAAATAGACAGGTTCCGCATGTATTTTTCCTCTCTCTGCTGCCATTCGCTCCTGTCACCCCTAATGACTGTGACCTTAATGACCTTCCAGAATATCCATATGGCCCTTTTTCTCCTCAACCTAGCAACAAACAGCCTACCTGCTACATGAGGGTTTGGATCTCATAATATCATTCCTAAGCCTGGCCTCTCTCACTGCTTGGCATTGTGTGCCTGCCACGAGACTGGGCTGGCTCGTAAAACATCTCTTTATGTACTTTATTACTTAAACTCTTTTATTTGCCTGCAGGAGCCCTTTAACAAAATCACATTGAATTGACTTTCTCACACCAAATCAAATCTCCCTGGTCCCAGTTCAGTTGTCTTTGTCAATATGTATTTTATAAATGGAGTGAATTAACAGATGCTGTTGGAACAGAAGTGCTGGGGTGGCGTTTATGTTTTTAGTGCTCTCTCTGGGCAGATGAGTTGTGTAGAAGTGTTATACAGGTATCTCGGGATGAAAGTCATGCGCGTCATTTCAGTGGATATGTATTCTTAGCCATTTTCTTTGAATAGATTTTAAACATATTTATTACTCATTTTTTTCTTAGTGTTTGCTTATATCGCTTTATCATTTGTGCCATTAATCTTGGGTTGGACTTGATTATATCCCTTAGTATGAAAAGATGAAAATTAAAGCCTCTTTATCATTCAAAGAGGACAGATTTTTCTGTTAGCCATGGGAAACTGATCATGAGATGACTTTGGAACATATTGACTTGTTTCTATTATAAATTTTGTTCATGCGGCCTTTGATGTGAAACTCAGACTTAAAATTGTTTCAGAATACACTGAGTTTCCATGTCCTGGACTCTGACTTCAGCAGAACAAATGATTATCACTGTTTGTTTCATAAGATGGGAATCTGGGAATTTTGCAGAGGGAAATATAACCACAGAAGTCCATAGTATAAGGCTGGTATTGAAAGAACATTTCCCTGAAAGATTTCCAAATAATATAATGATTTTTTTTGAAAAGTGTAATATATAAATGCTGTAAAATATATCTCAATGATTTGGGGAGCATTTTTACTCTACCCTTTCTGTTTTGTGGTGGTATTCATAGAGCCATCTACTGGTGAAGACTAACTGTGAATTTCTTTTCTTTCATGCTCTGCCACAAATGTTATACATTTGTCCTAAGGATGACTAATCACAAAACTTTTTATTCCTTCTAGGCCTAAAATATCCTTTGGCTTAAAATTTGGTCCCCATGAACAATCTCAGAGTTTCACAATGATTTGTCACATTCCAGGCTGGATTTTACTACTATACTATTTTTACCTCAAAGGCATGATATATCATTCTTGGTCTTGTTTAAAAAAAAAAAAAATGGAATGCCAGTTTTGCAGTCTTAACTATTTAGAAATTCATCCAGCAGATATGTTTATAAATGCTTTTCTTTTTAGATAAAGATATGAAATAAGTATTAGTAACATATTTGAAATGTTAATAATATTGTGAGTAAAATTTTTTTCCTCCACTATTTTCTCAGTGTGTCCAATCAATGGAAACCACTGAATATATACACAGTTTAGAAACACAATATATGCTTTTTGATCTGAAAAATAAACATCTACTAGTTTAATGTGTGCTGTACTACTTCAATAATATCTACATCTTGTTCAAAGACACTCTCCACCTTTGTACAAATTTAATGAAGAGGCTCTAGAAGAATGGACCCATCCATCAATAATGCATGACCTATTTTGTTTTTCTTTGGGCATATTTAAAATTGTGCATTCTGTGTGTCAAAGTTCAAAAGTCAAGTGCTACATGTGATAAATTAGGTAGGGGTCAAAAGTTATTGCAATGCAGTTTCAGAAGATTGTCTGTCTCTGAATTTGCGGCTCATTCATGCTGAAGTGATGCACTATGGGAATTACTACCAAACTCTGCTCCGCAACATCTGCTCTCCCTAAGTGAGTTAGTGCACGTCAGACATCTTTATGTCAGAATATTGCAGTGATGGATGCAGTCTTCAGAAAATGCTGCATAAAAATCTGGTGTGCCGTTCTGGCCATTAAGTGAAATTACTATTTAAATTAATGGCACTGTCACAGTTTATCTGTGCAAAGAATGAACGCTGATTAGGGTATTAAGTAATTAGCAATTTATCACACTGGAACAAGGTTGATAATAATTAAAGAAGTAATGGTTTACCAAAGAAACTAGAAAGGGAGTCACTTCTTGTTATGTGAGTGAAATCTTGGCTGAAAATTTCAATTCAGTAGTACAAAGATGAAGCTCTTTGTAAAAGAAAGCATCTTTTCTTTTCTAGCATAAAAACAGTTCATTATCAAAATTTTAGTTGACCTGTCAGAAGTCCCTCAGAGTGATCAGATGACTGATTAGTAGTTTCAAATTAGGTCAATGGCTGCATATTTATTTTACACTTAAAGTATAGTGAAACCATGGGGTAATTTGGGAGGGGGAGGGGAAGAATATATCCTGCTCCCTCAAGAGCCAGTTTTCAAATTTTGATTGCTCTTTAAAAGAAAAACATGAATTGTCTTAAGAAAACTTCTAGAGAAAAATACAACAGTAAAGAATCCAAGGTTGTATTTAAATGTGTAATTAGAAGGGGCAGAAAAATGCCCGAACATAATACTTGAAGCTATGGATTTTTCTTTTTAGTTTATGTGTGTGTGTGTGTGTGTGTGTACACACATGTATGTATGTATTTATGTATTTGTGTGTATATATACACATATATGTATATATGTACACACATACATGTATGCATGTCTATATACACATAAATGTGTGTGTGTATGTGCTTATAGATACACACACATACACATATACACCCACTGTAATCAAGACTCAGACTGAAATGAGCCTTGCTCCATGTATTTATTTGAGATAACTTTTCCTGGAAATGTTAAAACAACTAAAATTATTAATATAGCAGTTAATTTTTAAACCAATTACTTCGAAGAGTTGTCACATTAGATACACATAGTATGCCAAAACTCTGTTAGGATCAGTGTATATCATTAATCATAAATAAGCCTTTTTAATATTAGGAGATTTTTATAAGTGGAAAGATGAATGAGAGGGTTCTTTGGAGTCATGTGTGGATAAACATCTTTCTTAAGGCATGTGCCAAACCAATGTCTATGTTCAATGATTCTTTTAAAAAAGCACTTTTGATCTATTATTTGAGTGTCTTTTATAATGTAGATATTTACACAGGACCAGATTAAACAATTCAGAACCTGGGGCACTTTGAACTTGAGGTTCTTTATGTTATCAATCGGAACTAATAATAAACAAACAAAATTCCAATTAAAATAAATCATTCATCACACTGCTATATAACTGGATATAAATTCTAATATGAAAACACTGTGACATGCAGTATAGGCACCTTAATTTCTAGCTTGGTCTGACTCTAGTGTTTATTTATTCCTGCTTTAATGTTAAAATTTCTGCTATTTCTCTTTGATGACAATGTCTAAATGATGTAAATGCAGGTAATTAAACTGAATTTAGCGGGCGAAAAAGTCTATTTGGTATCTCAGGTACATGTGTCTTTCATCTCGATGTGGGGATCAGTGATCCTCTCTACAAGGTCTTTCTGCTGCTACCCCCAGCCTGTCACCTATGTCTATGTTGTGTTTAGAACCGAGTGTGGCTTAAAAAATAATAACTGATGAGTGCACCTGATCAGTGAATGTGCTCAGATGATTTTCAATAAATACCAAATCCATCTCATGAGGAAAGAGTGGTTACCATTGCAGCTAAATTCCCAAGAAGCAAATATTTGTACCCTAGATAAAGCTAAGCCAAAACTTACACTGCTCCTTCTGCAGGGTTTCCAGTTCTAGGATGGTGCTGCCTTTCCACTCTGCCTGGGCTCTTATCCCAGAGTACTTGGGTGACCTTTTCTCCCTTAGGAATTTCTAGAGCTTTCTCGGAGTCCCTATAGTTTAACTAACCTTCTTCTGCAACAAGACATTATCATCACAAAATGCGCAAGCAGTTTTCATGACAGAAATCTGATCTCTTTTTATGGAGCATGAGAGAAGTGTGGCCCAGCTGAATGATTTTTGAATACTTCCTCTTGTGTGTTCTTTTCCTAATTAGTGTCTAGTGCTCTTGGTAAGAAGGACCCTCACTGCACATTTAAATCACCTTGGTAGGGAAATGCTACCTTAGGTATTGCACCATTTCAGCAACTGCCTGAGTCTGACATTTTTATACCAAACTTTATAGCAGCCTCAGTTTTCTTCCCTTTTTCTATTTCATATTCATATATAACATTTTATTGTTGCAGGCATGTTCTGTTGTGGGCAGGATTATGTGAATATGTCAGATACCATATGCTGCTCAGCTTCCAGTGGAGAGTCTAAAGCACATGTTAAAAAGAATGACCCAGTGCCAGTAAAATGCTGTGAGACTGAACTTATTCCAAAGAGCCAGAAATGCTGTAATGGAGTTGGATATAATCCTTTGAAATATGTTTGCTCTGACAAGATTTCAGCTGGAATGATGATGAAGGTAATTGATAGAAAAGCTCTCAGAGGCGCTGATTTGACAATGGAAAGAGAAATACGTTGTTCATAACTATTTTTCTAAAATAGGAATATAAAAACTCCTGTGTGCATTATTCATTTTCACATTACATCCATATTAATACCGAATGAGTTCGCTATGATTGATGTTATTGCAATGAATTCTAAAAGAATTAATAATGATTAGCTGTTCTCAGGAAGCTTTACCCAGCACTTCAGATTAGTGCAGGACTGAACGTCTGTGTGCCGCTGAAAGAGCCGGCGCAGGTCGTCTGGGGCCTCTGCATGGTGCAGTTTCATGCCTGGGAGCATTGTGGATGGAGACAGGAGGAAATTCCCACTTCTTCTCCCTAGCCTGCCAGCCATCATCCACCTCCTTTGATAGAGATCTTAGATCCAGCAACTTCACTTAGTTGCATTTATGTCATATTCCCTTAGACAATGCAAGATGAACAAATGCCTGTGTCAATCACAAAAGTGAATGAATAGGCTTCTGGGTGTAATCACTTATGTTTTTATGTGGTGACAGTTCATACACTGCCATATCATGTATGTGGGTGTTAAACTTGACTCAGTATACCAGAAGCCCTAATTTAAGGAAAGGACCATGAACACTTTAGAAAACAAGCACACTACCGTGTTCTGTAGTAAATTGTCATTATAAGACCACTAAAAATGGGTGTCTTGGTCACAGACAATGGAAGGGCGCTTGTTCAGTGAGGCATCTACACAGTCCCCATGTGGACCACACACACTTTGTACACTTTGGTATGTAAAAAAACTCATGAGATTGTTAGAAGCCCTGCAAGCACTTTGTATCAGTTAATGATTAAGATAATACATAAGAAGGTTGGTTAAATTATTATAATGAGGATAATATTTCTCCATGTGAATCAAGTAGTGTCTTCTACATAATAATCTTCAGTCTACAGATTTCATTTTGTTTTCTGAAGACCTCTCTCCTGGAGACTTTTATATCCTGTTCCAATCTGGAATGGATCACCTTGGGATTTCTATATAACTGGGCGATTAGGTCTTCCCAAAGCTATCAACTCAGGAATTCCTTTCACCTCTTTCCTGTTTTGATCCCCCCATTTTTTGGATTCCAAGTTTCTTTCCATTTGGAGAATTATATTCTTGGATATAGATGTATGGAGGTAAATTTTTTGAGAGCTTAATGCATAAAAATATTATTATTTTACCCTCCAAGAGGATTGATAGCTTGGTTGGATATACATTTCCAGGTTAAAAACTATGTCTACTCAGATTTTGAGGCATTTCTGCATGTTTTAAGTTTCCATTGATATTTTGATCCCTATTTCTTTGTTGGTAAACATGTTCCTTTTCCTATGAAAGCTCGTGAAGATGTTACCTTTATCCTGCTCCTCTAAAATTTCATGACAACGAACCTCTATGTGGAAGTTGGAATGGTTTCTTTTTGCATTTTGTTGTCATTTTTTGCGATGAGAACATATAGGATCTACCTTCTTTGCAAATTTGGGGTTTTTTTTTAGTATTTTACATTACAATTCATTGTGAGTTAGGCAGTTGTCTTCCAAGTAACATCTCTAGATCCCTAGCCCCTTCCGTCTTGTGATGCTTCACACACAGTCCTTGGATCAGAATGGAAAGGGCACAAGAGGGGACAATTACACATGGACTGGTCATACCTGGATATAGAGTACATCCTTACTGTGCACTAGTCACACAGACATATCTAGTCAGATGGCTTCTTCTGCTGCAGCCAGGTTTTAACATCCCGCGATGTTAAAGGGAAAAGGGAAACATGAACATCACTGAGTACATTGCACTGCCTCTGCCACATTCATCTACTTTCCAGCTTCCAAAACTGTATGAACTGTCTTGTGTATATCATTTTCCATCCTTTTTCCTTAAACTTTCAACATGTAAACCATTATTTTACTGTCATTTGTTTGGGCTTTTAGAGAAAATGGAGGTTAGTCCAATGTTCAGTTGTCCTCTTTTAAATGGGATCCCATGGATTATTTTGAATCCCATGGATTCCATTTAAAAGAGGACAATTAAACACTGGATTTACCTTTATTTTCAAAGAGGAAAATTTAACATTGGATTTATCTCTATATAGTGGGATTCCATTTATATAGCACCATCTTGGCTCACTGCAACCTCCGCCTCCCAGGTTCAAGCAATTCTCGTGCCTCAACCTCCCAAGTAGCTAAGATTACAGGTGCATGCCAATATGCCCAGCAAATTTTTTTTTTAGTAGAGATGGTTTCTGCTTGTTGACCAGGCTGGTCTTGAACTCCTGACCTCAAGTGATCCACCTGCCTCAGCCTCCCAAAGTGCTGGGATTAAAAGCGTGAGCCACCACACTGGGCTCCACTATTTGTTTTTGAATTTATTATTTTGACTAACTTGATAAGAATAATTCAACTTATTTATGTAAGAGAGAGGTTGAATGGAGATCAATTTTAATAGCAAAAAGTATTCTAAATACATTATGCTACTTATGTAAAGGAAAGGCAAAGTAGGTCTCCACATTATAGAACTATTGCCTTATTTATAGCTCCTGTAATTTGGGATGATTAAGTATTTAATTTCCTTAGATTAAAACAAAGTGGTACTTATCAAAAACCATGAAAAGTCAGAGATTTGTCAGAGAAAATGTTTATATGCATAAATAGTTATAATCATAATGACAGTTCATGAAACATTATATTTTTTTAAATTTGGATCAGTAATACTTCTAATGGGACTAACTTCCCCAACAACACAGGAAGTATAAATTCTCAAATACCACATTCTGTATTTTCTCTAAAATTCCATAGGACAGTATCAAATAGCAAAAATAAAATATTTGTTGTGTGTATACTATGTTTAAGGCATTTATAGGTGTTATCCCATTTGAATCACACAACAAACCCCAGTGGTAAATTTTGTCTCCATTTTTCCCACTGAAGAAGCTGAGGTTTTGAAAACGTAAGAGACTAGCTCAAGGTTACAGAGCTGGGAAGTTGCAAAACTGAAATTTTAATCCCAATCTGTGTCGTTTCAAAGGCATTGCTCTTTCTAGTACACAAACTGCCTTCATTTCAAATTTTGAGATATTCATTCATCAAGTAAGTGGAGGAAAATTTCATTTGAAAGTCACAAAAGCCTACCCTATATATGTCTAAATGAAATTTTTAAATACCCCCCTCTCTCTCTTCTCACCCCTACCACTTAACTTAGGAAACCAAAGAGTGCAGGACCCTCTGCCCCGCATCTATGGAAGCCACGGCACATTGTGGCAGGTGTGACTTCAACTTTACCAGCCACATTTGCACTGTGATAAGAGGGTCTGACAATTCCTCAGGGAAGGCATCAGTTGAAGAAATGTGTTCATCTGCTGAAGAAACCATTCATATAGGAAGTGTAAACACGTACTCTTACACAGGTAACAGAAAGCAAGCTGTCTGCCCATGGCTTGGTGGGGTTAGTGAGAAGCTGCTGAAAATGCAGATTTATTTCACTCTGACATCAACCCTCCTTAAATTGGTGTCAGTACATTCCATCATACTTTGGAGCCAGCTTGTTCCGAGGTAATTAAAGGCATAATCTGGATGTATTCAAACCAGCAGTTTAAAATACGTTAAAGTCTAACTTTAAACAAGGTTGTATTCCATATTAAAGTAAATTGGTGGAGATATAGGTGACCTTTACTGCTATATTCAGTTAATTTACCATAAACCCAATCTTCTTTTTCAAAAGCTGCAATGCAAATATCACTGAATGCAGTAAATGAATATTGCTATACTTGTAACAGAAAGAAGGATACACCTGTCTGATTAATAATAAAACCTAGCAGTGCTATTCTGAGGAGGAGGAGGTAAACCTAAGCCTGACGTTTCCCCAGGATGGCCAGTCATTTCAAAAACAATAACCCTTGCAGTTGTTATTGTAAATATTAATTTCTAAGCACCATCTTGGCCCTGCTCAATTAGTCCCATGATTCTTAGTTTTGGCTAAGCTGTGTAAGAAACACTATTAAGTTTAGAATTATCTCTAAAATAGTTCTGCCATCTATTAAATTTGTGTTATCCATTTACTTAAATCCTTACAAAATGTGTTCTTATTTTTAGAAAAATCAAGTTTGTGTGTGTGTGTGTGTGTGTGTGTGCATGTGTGTGTGTGTATGTGTGTATGTATCATCTATCATCTTGATTCAAATAGAATCCATTTAAGTGACATAATTTGAGCAAGCTAAGGTTACATAAACAAGCAAAATAGTGCTCTATCCTATCATAAATTATCATTCTGCTTTACTCAATCAAGGGGCGGTAATAGCAAACCTCAGGAGTACAGAAAGTAAGGTAGTATAATGAGATAAGAGAAGGAAGATTAAGGAGGGAAGAAAGAAACAGAGATAAGGTTGATTGAACATTATTTAGTCCCGACGTTATACTAAGTACTTGAAAACCTTATCCCAATTACCTACAAAACAATCATATAAATATAATCATTTAGCAGATGAGGAAACAGTCAGATCTATAAAAGTAACTCATCATGAGACAGAAACATATTCAAATAATGCCATCTTCAAAAGGAGCATATTTTGAAGACTCCACGTGGTGTAGGAGCTCCTTTCAGAGTGCCCCAAATGTCCTTCAAGCTGTTCTTCCACCTGAAATGTCTTGTTTTATCATCCTACTCAAGACCTAGGTCAAGAGTCACATCCTCAGTGCAGTCCCTGTGCTGCTGTGACACATTGTTCATGGAGCTCACTAGTTCTCCCATGTGTTATATGGATTTGGACACTTGTTCCAGCTCTCCTATTAGATTGACACACCCTTATGAATAGGACACTTTTGTTTACCTTTACCTTGTTATTTGGATTTAGAACACTACACAAACAATAAATGTTTCTTGGAATGAATCTAATTAGGAAAGGTCTTGGATACAGGACAATTTGTCCAATCTTCTATCATGTTCCCAGTCCTTGTTACAGATTTAAATCATGGACCCTCATTTTAAAATTATTGAGTTTTCATCTAAGCAAGTCCTCTACTTTTATCTGCCCCTTGTAATCAAGATCAAGATTTTGAAGGACTTTTAATACATGCTTGCAGTAGCCCTCTCCAAAAGCAAATAGATGTTTCCACCTACTGATATAATGATGTTACGAGGGCTTTTAAAATCCATATTTCAGATTGCTTTCCCTGCAGAAAATACTATAAATTGAATATGAAAAGTAACAAAATTTTTTTTCATCAAAGATTTTCAGCACACAAGTGGTGCTCTGATAATTCCATTGAGAACAATTTAGACTTTTTTAGAAAGTCTTTTAGTCAGACTTTTTTAGAAACTTGAAAGCTGACAATACCAGTGATGACTAAAATTTATTCATTTATGCAAATCATTTATCAAAAAGTATTTATTAAATACCTAGTAATAACTAGTCACTACATTAGGACTAGCAGTCATGAAAACAAACAATAACTTTCATTAGGATTTGAAGCCCATATGAAGAAAGAAAGAAGCAGCAAATGAGATTTGAAATGGTGATGTGAGCTTGAGGGTACAGAACAACAATCATTAGCAATGAGTAGTTTAATGTTCTGTACCAGAGATGTGAAAATATATTGAGGGTACATTTTTATCTGAGGGTGAGTAGATGGTCTAGGCAACTCAATCACACAGTGTCATTCAAGGATCCAGAATCCAGAATGGCAATCGAAGGTATGCAATTTTCTCTTTTAAAAATGATGCCGAAGTTGTCTGTATCTCTTCTATACTCCTTTAGGTATTGAGATCCGAGTCATGTGACCACTACATGCTACAAAGAAAACCAGAAAGTGTGGTTTCTAATCACATTTAGACCAGGATGGAAGGAAGAACTGGGGACCAGTAGTAGTCATCACAGCAACAAGTGGCAGATACCCTCTAAGCAGAGAAAATGGAAAAGGAAGATAATGCTTTATATTTGTAGGGCAATTGGCATTTTATGAAGTTCTGCTCCATAATTTGTTACATTTTATTTTCATATCCATTCTATAGAGTGGGCAGGGAAGGGTTTATTTTAAGTAGATGTATATAAGGAGAATGTGACTCAATTAATCCAAGCATCAGGACTGAGAATTAACTCCATGTCCGATGGAGATGAGCAGGTGGCCAGACAGCCAAGGAGGAAGGCCGCCTTTTCTGATGCTCAGTCTGAGAAAGAGTCACCCAGAAGCTCCCATACAAAAATGCATAGACACATATTCAAAATGCATCAAATTGGAGACATGGAAAATAAATAAATTTGCAAGTAATTTTTTTGGGGGGAATGTGTGGCATTTTTATTTCTGAAGTTATGAAAGCTTAAATGGAACTAAGACTTTGGGGACACCACTGAATCACATGGATGTTCATCTCATACAATTTTTGCCAGTTTGGAAATCTCAGCATGCTTGGTTTTACTGTTTTAATAAAGTTGGTTGGTTTGTATTTTGGTTTTCAGTTCTGGTTTTTGTGGAAAATGGAAGAAACTAGATGGCAGAGTATGCTTTCATTTTTATTCTCTGACATGATACCATGATAAACTAAGTTTCAAATCCTGTGTGTTGTTTTGGAAAATGTTTTAAGTAATCTTAACAAAGTAATAGAAAATAATAATTTATAGATTTTATGACACTAAACTATAAACGTATGTTGGCAAACCTGTCTCATGTAAAAATCAAAAGTACATGAATTTGTGAAGCATTAAATCTTATGACTCCAGTGCTTTTATTTTTCATTTATTTAATATATCCCTCTTTGCTCAGAAAGAGGGAATTCTATTCTGTGCGATTCCATATCCCTGCATCTAATGAACAGTTTAAATGTTACTTATATTTAGAAAATGAAGATTTTAGAGTTTTATTTATACATGAAAGATTTAGAGCCTTAAACATTTATTTTTAAATGTCTTAATTTTTTGATAGTCACTTTTAATATGATGGTTAAAAAAATGAAAATAAGAGAAACCTGTCTGTTTTCTCTCTTTACAGATGTAAACCTCAAGCCCTACATGACATATGAGTACAGGATTTCTGCCTGGAACAGCTATGGGCGAGGTCTCAGCAAAGCTGTGAGAGCCAGAACAAAAGAAGATGTGCCTCAAGGAGTGAGTCCCCCTATGTGGACCAAAATAGACAATCTTGAAGATGCAATTGTCTTAAATTGGAGAAAACCTATACAAGCAAATGGTATTGAGCTACCTTTAAAATACCAATAACAAAATCCCATAAATTCATAAGAAAACCGAAAGGAGTATAACCTACATTTAATTGCCATGCATCTAACCACTAGAAAAGTATGTACCAATAAAGGGAACTTGAATTATGTGCCAACTAATCACTCACTTTGTGGTGTAAGCCCTCATAAATTTTTAGCCTAAATAAATAAAATAGAAGTAAAATTCCTTGAATCCCACAATATATCTGAGCTGCTTTCAAATAAGCAAAGCATATTCAGGGAAGGCAAAAGAGTTTTAATACTGAAAGTAAATTTGTTTCATAGTGAAAGGAAATAAACATAAATGGCTCTTTGATTATCTATGTCAAGAATCCATCTCCTCCATAATAGTATAATTAGGAACTGCTTGAGATAGCAATATAATAGGAAATTAAAATTAAATAAAGCTATAGTATCTCATTTCTTCCAAACACTAAGACTTGTAAGTTGTTTGCAAACAGTTAAAATGATGTGACATTCAAATGCGGTCATTTTTCTGCTTCTTTTAGGTCCTATTATTTACTATGTTCTTCTTCGAAATGGAATTGAACGTTTTCGGGGAACATCATTGAGTTTCTTTGATACAGAGGGAATTCAACCATTTCAGGAATATTCATATCAGCTGAAAGCTTGCACGGTTGCTGGCTGTACCACTAGTAACGAGGTAACAGGAATTTGCCTAGACTTGGGGGAAAGGGTTCAATGTGAAGATCCTGAACACCCAGGTTGTGAGTGATTTTTCCAATGAAGAAAACAATGTCCCCCCTCAAAGTGGTGTTAACTAGGTGTTCATGTGCCACCTTAACTGAGTCCTAATACCCATGCCTGGAAGGAGAGATCATTGCAAGGGAGATTTATCCAAATATCAATCTTGCGTTGAAGAAAAATAAGTGAAATCTTGCAGCAGTACCATCTTTTCTTCCATATCCTTTCCTCGCTAACCAATTTGAGGTAATCTATAAATCCATAAAAATTTCCAAATCATTATTCAGTTGAAGAAAGTTTCTATTTAAATGATATGAACAAAAAAAGGCCTCATTTTGAAAAATGAAGAAAGGGACAAAAAAGCCTGGCATGGAAAACAAATTGTTCCAAGCCTTCTGCTCTAGCCTTGTCAAGAAATAATGAAGACCTGAACTCAGGCAGCAGAGGTCAGAACCAGAAATACAGAAAGATGCAACCGATGTGGGGGAAAAATCTACAGGACTTGGTAGTCAACTGTATTTGTAGAAATAGAAGGAAAGAGTCATGAATGTTTTTAAATAACTGCTTAAGTAATTTGTGGATCATGGTGCTATTCTACAAACAAATGTTTAGAAAAATGTTAAAGGTAAAAGATAAGTTTATATTTTGTTAAGTTTTTAAAATACATATTTAAAAAGAAGGATCAGATAGCAGGGTGGTGGAAGCAGATAGTACTTAGCACTCTATGTAAAAATATCTGGTCAGACGCCAGACTGAGAAGTGACTGAAGTTTCTAGAAAGATCTGTGTGGGACGTTGAAGTCATGAGTTTAAATATGGTCATAGAAGGAGAATAGAGAGAGACAAATACAGAATACCGTAGATAATGAGCCCTGGGGAATGCTACCAGATGAAAAAGAAAGAAAAGCCTGTGAAGAACATTGGAAATAAACAATCAAACAATGTAGGAGGAAAATAAAGGGGCATTTCATAGAAGGCAGCTTTGACAGAGGAAGCCCAAGAGGAAACAAACTCACAGAGAGTAGCTTTGATTCTTTTCATATGCTTAAAACTTTAAAAAGAGCAACATTTTTGCACATTGTACAAGAGCCATCCAAATGAAACATTCAGTCACACTGCTCAGCCACAGTGCAAGAATGCAACGTTTTGTTCAACAGACCTCTAGGAACCTTTCTGAGTGAGCCATCATTTAGATAGATGGCAGCTGACTGACCCAATCAAAAGTTACTAGTCCTAGAACAATTCCATGCATTTTGCGTAGGCACAACTCATGCCTGCTACGTGCAAAGCAATTGTTTACAAAGTGAAAAGATTTAATTCTATGAGAAAACACGGCCAGTTTTTGTCCAAAACTATATTTTGACAATATTGACTAAATAATGGCTTGATTTATTTTTTTTTTCTTCTCACTTGTTTCTCTTTCTAGAAAGTTGGTGCAGACACTCTAAAGTCATCCTAGGTATCACGGGAAGAGTACTGAAAGTCTGCCCATTTATTCTGTTCAAAGCATATTATATGCAGGCAAGTTCAGATATGGGTTTTGCTCCATATTTACTGGTGCTTAAAATGTACAAAATCAGGCTGTTAAAATGCAAAGACACTGATGGGCCATATGGAAGAGAGTTATCAAGAGTTCTCTAGTAAGACAGTCTGCCAGCCAGATTTTACTTGTTTAAACACTGAGGGCTGCACTCTGCCGTCAAAATTGTTGTTGAACCTGTTGTGATAAATGGTAGTCTGAGACTTATGTAATATATTCAAGGTCAGATTTCATTGTTTAAATAGGATGGGAGGGAAAAAAATGAAAAAAATGGGACTGCTTCTCCAAGCCCCTGCTAATGATATGCCAGGCCAGACAACAACATTTTAAAACAAAAGTGACATCCTCATTGATCAGGATACCTAGTGTACTGTTACAATAAATTGCTGTTTAATTCCTATGTCTTCAGGTAGTTGCAGCTACTACCCAAGGAGTTCCGGAAAGCATCCTGCCACCAAGAATCACAGCCCTAAGTGCAGAGGCTCTGCATCTGAGCTGGAGTGTCCCTGAGAAACCAAATGGCGTCATTAAAGAGTACCAGATCAGGCAGGTTGGAAAAGGTCTCATCCACACTGACACCACTGACAGGAGGCAGCATACGGTCACAGGTGAAAAAAACAAAAAAAAAAGAAAAAGGAAATCCTACTGGAGGAGTCTGTCATTGTGGTTAGGGGGGCAAAGTATCCCAGGGGTGTGTGTTTGATATATGAGGTCACTTCCAAAGGATGTGTTCTCTTGACATATGGTCAGGTCCCACTTATCCATGCTAATAGAAGAGCCCACACTGGCAGCAATACGCCACAACAGCAGATAACTTCAGAAATAATTTATATTTGGCCTTGGTATGCATTATGTGAAGGGTTTTTGCATCAGTATTAACTTTTTTTTTCCACACAAACAGTAAGATGCATTTTCATTCCCCAAGGATATACTCATAGATAATGGGACTAGGATAGCCAAGAATATACTGGAAGGCAGGGGAAAATCAGCCAGAGGTTAACATTTGCCTATCAAGTGGATAATTAATACACAGGACTAGTTGACAGTGGAGTTACTGTGGCTGTTTGTATTAGGAATGTTAATTAATAGTAATTGTGTTTTTTAAAATTATTATGGTTTATTATCATTAGCTTTAATAATATACTATTAGTACAGTACAATGATATGTTAGATAATTGCCAGTAGTGATTATGATAATAATTAATAGGTTTTAGCTTAAATGCCACTTCTGAAGGGAGGAGAAGCATTTTCTGACTTTCTCGGTTGGATAGCTTCTGTAACACACCACCACATCACTTTGTTTTATTTTCATCGTAGACCTCTCACTGCCTGATATTCTAGTGTTTGTTTTTTGTCTTTTTATGTCTCTCCACACTTGAATGAAGGCTCCAAGAGAGTGGGAACCTTATCTACTTGTTCAGTGTTGTACCTCTAGCACTTAGAATCCTGAACGCATTAATAGGAGCTAAATAAATGTTTGGGGAAGAAATGAATTTAATATGTGCCAGATGCTGTCCTAAGCACTTTGCATGCACTATCCAATTTCATCGCAAACCTAAGTTGTAGAGTAAATTACTACCTTCATTTTACAGAAAAGAATACTTTGAGAAGTTAAGTAATTTAGTTTGTTATTCGAGTCTACTAAATCATCCCAAACAACCCTGTTAAGTTTAAATTCTAAGACCATGGGCAAGATTTTATAAACTTTCCCATTTTTCCCATTGTCAGTCACCTCCTTCCAAGACTCCCGGAGTGGATGCCCTCCTTCCATTGGACTGCACTTTTTGCAGGGGTCTTGATAGCACAGATAATGAAACTCACAGAAAAGAGCAGAAAGGCCTCAAAAAAAAAAAAAAAGTCCTTGATTTTTCCTGAGCACCTAAATAATGTTTTTTAGGTGTTTTTCCTAAACACCTAAATAATGGTGTTTAACATAATGAAAACTTACTTTTATATAGTGCTTTATCATTTAAAGAAACATTTGCATTTTTACTTCTCTGACTCTCATGACATCCTTGTAAGTAAGAGATGTTTTTAATAATCATATTTGAAAAATGAAGAAGAAAACTGACCTACCCAGGGTATCCAAGGCATTCACTGCCTCTATCTAAAAGGAAATTAGAATATCATTTCATTCTTCCAAAAATGAATTGCCAGCTTGTGGTGTTCCAGACAGTACACTAAGTGGTCCAAAATAAGACTGCTGCTCTTAAGATGCTCCCACAAATAGGGAGACTGACAAGAAAACAAATAACTGAAAACAGAACTCTATGCAGGATGCCGTGGTCAAAAATCAAACTAATCACTTGAAGTAAGCAATGGATGTTAATTACAGGGTTTTGAAAACCAAGACTGTACCAGCAAAGGTTTCCCAGTAATTGAGATATAAGGCTAAAGAAATTTATTTTTAGAATATCTATAAACTAACCAGCATTGGCTTTGAATTGTTGCCGCTGTGTTGGTTTGCATTTTTTGGAAATCAGCATTTTCACACCAACAGACCACATTCAATTGTAATGTTCAAACCAACAGGATTGGTAGCCTCATTAATTATAAAATAATTGCAAAGATTTTTCTTTAAATAACTTCATTCTACCAGTTCTTCCTTTCATTGTCATTTTAAATGGCTATTTTATGTCAGAGTAAATTTCGTACACATATCTTGGTGCCAGAAATCCTTTTATTAGAATAAATATTTTAATGTTTTTAAATATAATTTTAATTTTTACTTAACAGTAAAATCATAATCTGGTCAAAGTCTTTAGGAGTCATTTGACCAGTCTTTCTGTTCTATTTTTGTTTTGTTTTTTAATTTCTATGGATATTGTTTTAAATAGATTTAGAGAATATTTCACTTGCCCAATACAGCCCTAAGGAGGGATTTCTTTGTAGAATAAAGAAATAAGTCCTCATTCAGCAAAACCTTACCAAGTACAGAACCTCCTATAAGTAGTTCTTATGGGATAGGAATGGTGCTAGGCCTTAGATAATCTGAAACCTGAGATCTATATAATGTTACTCATCTGCCCAGGAAAATTCAGTTCCACGGTTAGCTAACTGACCAAATGCAGTACTGAAGTATTTTATGGTGTGAATGACTGTTTTATTGAGTTCATGGAATGAACTAAAATAATCAAATTTATTTTCTATTCCATCTTAAATGTTTGATGGAAATGCTGCCTGAACCCCCTAGGATAAATGTTTTGATTTTCTCATCATGTCCAAAAGCTTGGCATTCCCTAAGCAACAGAGCACTAATGAAGCTGTAGCACTAGTCGTCCTGGAGCCTGAAAATCTACGTCCTTAGGAATGACAGGAGGGAAAGGGAGCACCTTGCCTCAGCCCCATTGTCTCCACGCTTATTTTTTTAATTACCTCAAAGCTTTAGAAACATGATCCCGTAAATGCTTTGTGGGAATAGTGGCGAATGCACTCATCACGTGAAATCCATAAATTGCTTATAATCCTCTCAAGATGTTAAAAAAAGCATTAAGTAATTGAAGACAGGAAGTCCTCGGTTAATTATTTAGAGGTGTTATCAATGCTTTAAGTAAACTGAAGCGTTTTCTGCTATCTCACTGAGCTGAATACCATGGGGACGAAGGAGTAGCAGCCATCATCTTCTCATATTCGCTAATGCAAACAGCGCATGGCAGCTTGTCAATAAAAGACCTTTTCGTATCATCTATTACTAAACACATCCACCATCCTGTACAGAACAATTTGGACACCAGTTATGGCATTGTTTCACTTTGGGCTACCTCTGCATTATACATGGGTCTCCTAATGTGAGTTTAGGAGTAGAGGAAAGGGTAAAGGATTAACTAAATAATTAAGGCCACTGAGAAATAAAATGAATTAGTCATATCCTGCTTAGCATCAAGTATAAGGGCCTATGTGTCTCTTAACTCTGGGAAAACTATTTTCAAAATAATTAATTAGAAGTTACTCATCACTGCATTTCATTTAAAAGGAAAAACCTACCAGCATTAAATTAGCAAGGAAAGGACAATTTGCCTTCCTTTCTCCTCTTCTTAGAACTTGATGAAAACCTTGTGTGCTAAATAGGATAAACCCTAACAATGCTGGTGTTAGCAGAAAACGTAATACTAATGTTATACTGAAACAGATACCTTACACATCACTTTTGAAAGAGAGAAAACATGCTTCAACCACCAATACAGCAAAATGTAGAAATTCTTTTTAAGGAATTTTATTCTTAGATAACTCTGCTCTTTGCTCTCATAGTAATTCTTACATTTTATTCTAAATCCTTTCTTCTTGAACTGTTCCACAATTAGTAATAGGTAATGCTTTTTAAGGACAGAGATAGTAGCCTCCTGTTTGCCATTGCATTCCGGGTACCTATTAGAGTACTTAACTATTCAGAAAATGTTTGTTGAATGAATAAATACTGAATAGTAAACTAGTATTTGACTGACTACATTTTGTTTTGAATGGAGTTAAAAATGCCACTCTCGAACATATCTAAATCTCAGACAGAACTGGCAACATAATTGTGGGGTTCAGTCATCTGAACCCCACAAAATGAAAATTCAGGCCCCTTGTTCAGAAATCATTAAAATTTCAAGACAGTGAAACCAGAGCGTAGAAGTAAGCTCATGTGCTTCTAAGCATGGTACCTTGTTTGATTACACATGTTGAAAGCCCACGAAGCCAACCCTGGTCTCCAGCATCCTGGACTTAACTGCAGTACATTTCTTTAATTAAAACAGGTAGCAAGAAAACTAGGATGGTAATTCAGCCTCAAAACAGCTTTGGGAGTTTCTTCTATGGTTGTATGCAATGCTCCAGGCTGCATTTCCCCCAGTTACTGTGTAACTACTGACCACCAAGCATTGGACCTATGAAAAGAGATACAACAATTCATTTTTTTTTTTTTTCATTTTTTCAACTCTGAGAACAACTAAATTTATGCCTGACTAAAAACGAAACAAAAAAATAGTGTAGCATCAACCACTTTTTCTCCTTTTAAAACCTGCCTATCGATAAAATATTAAGGCCAAAGAACTATAATTGATGGCTGCCTAGACAATATTTTTAAAATTCCTCTTTATTCCCAGATATTCCAATGTAATTGACAGACACTAGGTCTGTTTTGTCACTCCAGTTCTTGCCACCCCCTTCCCTCTGCAATGTCCTCATTGTCTCATGTTTGAGCCACATCAGATTTTGCTGCCATCTGACACCACATTTTGTTTTTAGAAAAGAAAATTCTGCCTGAAAATGCAGAGAAGAAGCCTTAGACTAGTATAACACTGAATTTAAAAGATGAAAAGTGTTTATTAAAATATTTAATATTTATTAAAATACTGTCACTAAAATAAAAAATATATATCAAAAATATAATTAATATTGTATTTTGTTGTTATTCTAGATATACATCAACATTAAGACTATTATTTAGACACCACCAAGGAAAGAAGGTCTTTTTTCAACTCTGAAAGAAGGTCTTCCTTTGGTAATGTCTAAACAATAGTCAATGTTGATGTATATCTGAAAAGAGAGTCTGCCAAAGTAGTAACTTGTTTAGGAAGGGTGTCTTTGGATCAGGAAGATACTGGAGAGAGGGGCCTAAGCTATGGCC